TTGGTGGGGAGGGGGAGGTGGGTGAACGTGAGGGGTGGTGGGGGGGTGGTGGGTGGGAGGGTGAGGGTGATGAGGCGGGATATCTGGGTGATGATGAGGACGACGAAGAGGGAAACGGAGATGGAGATGAAGACGAGGATGAGGAAAAGCTACTTGCCGACTGCCCCGTTGCCATCCACGAGGTCAAAAGCCGGGACGAAACCGAAGACGGAGGCGAGGAGCTGGGAGGGAGCTACGTTGCCTTTGTCGGTCACCTGGAGGACAGCCGCTCGATGGCCTCGTTGATACTGGGGATCTGTGGTGTTGAGGCGGATGATTCTGATTAGTAGCATGGTGTTGCATTGGCTCTTCGGCACCTTCCTCTGCAGTTTGGAGTTGGTACATCCTGGATAGCTGATAGCTGGATAGCATCGACAAGAATCAATTCTCAGAACCAATATCAACAGTAATATACAACACTAATAACAAAACCTATTCCTTCTCCTCTGTAGACGGTCCCACCAACCGCTTCGGTTTACTATTCCCATACGCTAGACAAACGTCAGCTCGATTCACATATGAGGAAAAGTTTCACGCACTCCGGTCATACAACACCCACGACGTGTACAGGAATATCGGCAGTGCCACGATAGTCGATAACCACCTGTCATCATCAGTTTGGTACACATAGTGAAAAAAAAAGGACTTACCGTCTAGCGGCGACTTTGTACTCCTTCGTCTGCCGGATATCTGTGATCGGGGCTTGGGTTCCGGGGCGGATCGTTCGTCGTTGCGAGAGCGTTTGTGGGTCGACGATGACTCTGGGTTTTGAGGTGGGGGGTTGGGGTGGAGGTGTAGACTTTGTCATTTCTATTACTTTTTCACCTTTATTTATACTAGAGTTAGATGAAGTTGTTGCAGAGAAATGGATTAGCCACAAGGACGGACGTGAGGGATGCGACTTTTGGCAGAAAAAGTTTGCCTGGGTGCCTTAATGCCTAAGGCAGGTTGCGATGATTTCTACGAATACCAGAGATATCTTTGGAACAATCACACAAGTTCATATTATCGATTATCGTAAGTCTGTTAACTCAAAGGTACAATTTCTTGAAGTCACTAGCGCTAATATCAATTGCTTTATGCATCCATGACCCGTTGCTTGCGCCGGATCCGACATGCCTCGAAAACCCAGGATTGTACAGGTGAAAGAAATGATACAGTCGCCATCAACGGCACCTCACACGCAGACGTGTCGGTTCCTGCTGATGACTTTGAACATGATAGAAATGTCTAGGGAGGTCCGCAGCGTCCAGCTCGGCCCAATCACCTTGGACAAATTTTGATGAAACAAACAAGAAAAAGCCAATGAAGTGAATATCACTAACGCCAAATGAGATCGAAGAGCTCAGAGTCCACCGGATGCTTCGCTATGCTTGAGGCATTGTACTCAATCCGTAACGCCCATGTGATAACAGTGTGATTAGGTAAAGATGATGTTGCCTCGTTGCCAACCATAGCAAAGAGGGTTCAACGAATTGAGTCATGATTCTCAGGGAAACGAGATAAGACCGAGATGAAGGTGGATGAAGAGTCAATAGACTGCCCGTGCCGATTGTTCACCATTTTGCTGGGGATGACCAGCTCCCAGAGGCAGACAGATCTTAGCCAAAGATCCAGAACTCAACGCAGACTTATTGGATGAGCAGTCATCAATGAGAGATGGGAAAAGAGAATATGATGGTAAAAATAATCAGATGATGGCGCATGCAAGTGACTGGTAGATAGACTTCAAATAAAAGGCACGAAGCTATCCCTCGTGAAGTGAGGTAAAGAGCAGAGGAAACAAAGACCTGGCGGTATCAACTCGACAAATAGTCGAGACTTTGAGATGCCAAAAGTGATGTAAGCGGGGTTGGAATCAACTGAAGGCGTGACGAGGAAGGCGATCGAGGAAGGCAGAGACCAGTGAAGTAAGCGTGATTCAAAGTAGAAGTGAGGCTTATCGAAGGTGAGATCGGGATGCAGGTGAATAGATACTAGCAGGTAGCCCAATCATGCGCTCTTCATTAGCTCGCCCTCAGCATTCCCGCCTCCCTGTTTCGAAGGAGTGGCGGCCTTCTTTCGAGCGGCCCGACGCGCCCTCTCCTCGGCGTGAGATTGGAAATCGGCCATCAGAGCCGTTGCCGCACGGCGCCGCGGACGACCATTCGGTGTCTGGTTCTGCTCAGCGGGACTGGCTGCCTCTGGTAATGGCTTGCGTCTCTTAGGGGAACTGCCCTCACCATCCGTCTCCGCGTCGTCGAGAAGGCGTTTCTTCGATGGGCTGGATGGCATTGGCCCAAAGATCGCTGCCGCCGCCGCCGCTTTCTCGGGGTTGGAAAACTTGAACTTCAACTTGAGGCTTGGCTTCTCGGCAGCAGCGGCAGCGGCAGCGGCAGCGGGAGCGGGAGCACTCGGATTCTGGCGCCGCCTCTTGGTCCCCGAAGTTGACTCAGTGGCATCATTGACGGGCTCCGTGCGTCTTCTCTTGCGCGAACCACTGGCAGGCTTCTCCTCCTTCGAGGGCTCGCTTTGCCCAGCGTTGTCATACTGCGCGATCAAGGCCTCAATCTCCGCGGCCGACATTGTCCGATCCACCGGGATGCCCCTCAGCCGGGCGCCGTCTCGTGCCTTGACCTTGGCCCTTTCCTCGTCAACGTCCTCCAGTCGAAAGGGGAGATTCGTTTGCTGCGGGAGATTACGCTCCCCCAGCCGCGGGGGGTACCCGAAGATCCGGTCCTTCTCCGCCTGTTCACGCGACCTGAACCGCCCCGGCGGCTGGGGGAGCTGGTCATCCCCGTAGGTGTTGGCGGGATGAACCCACTCAAAGTCGGAAGAGACAAAGACGTACTCCTCCCCAAACTTGTTGAGAAGACCTGTATGCGTCCAACCATCCTCGTCAGTCCACGGCTCCGATACTTTCGTCTTGTCCATACCGAATGGCATGCTCGAGGTTGGCCTACTTTCTCCCTCCGACCCCGCCTCCTCTCCATCCCGCCCCCGCTGCTCCGCTTCGAACTCTCTGCGCAGGCTCTCCAGCCTGGCATCAAGCCCGGCATCCAGCGCAGGGTCTGCAGACACGGCCGCCACCGCCAGCTCAAGCAGCCGTCTGGCAATAAATGCCGTATCGGGCTGCTGAGCGGCAGACGGCGCCGGCTGAGACGCCTGCGCGGATGCCGAAACCTGATGCTCAGGCTGGGCCGCGCCTCCCTTCTTCTGCCCCAGACCCTCACCCGACATCGACTCGGGTTTGCTGGATGGAGCCCTGGAGCGGCGGAACTGTCGCTCCGACTCCAGGGACTCCAGAGCCCTGATGGTGGGCTTCCGAATGCGACTCGAAGTCCTCGCTGCAACGGACGTGCCAGTGGATAGGCTCGTGGGTGAGCCCGGGCCATCCACCTGGCCGTCAAGGCCGAAGCCGTTGCCATACATCTCGGGACCGTATTCGAAATGGAAGTTGTCACCGTAGGCTTGCACAGGCGTCCCCTCGACGCTGTCGTTGACCTCCCCGTTGTATGGAGTGGTCTCAAGAACCATCAGGGTCGCGGGGGAGTCCAAAGGCTTATCGACAGCCAGCAGTTTAGCGGCGGTTTTGGCTCGCGAGCTTCGAGTGTTCATGTTGTGAGAAAGAGGTTGAGTTGCTTCGAGGGTCGGGTCTGGGACAGGAGGGGGCTGAGACGGGGTTTCGTGAATCTGAACCGGCGGATTGTGATTGTGTTTGGTCGCCGTCTCCTGGATATGCTCTGAAAGGTTGCGATCGGTCCTGGTCGTGGACTTGCGATCACGACGACGGGATCTGGCAGTAGAGTCGCGTGAAATTGTGTTAGCCTGGGCGGCAGGAGTTGCTGACTCGGCTGTTTCGGTTTTTTCGGCCTTGGGGGCAATGGGGGTAGCAGGTTTGGCTGGTGTAGCTTGAACAATCTTATTGGCAGACTTGGTCGCCTTGGCATTGGCTTGAGAAGTTGGCTTGGCTTTACGATCAATGCGAGCCGGAGTAGAAGCGCGAGAAGCGGAGGCCTTGACAGAGGATTTAGGATGGACAGTGTCTTTCTTGTTGCTGGCACCGTGCAACTTCGCAGGCATGGACTTTCTGGCCTTGCGATCGTTCTGCGTTGTTGCAGGAGTCATGGTTGACGACTTCGAGTTGGATTTGTTTTTGGATGTGTTGGCCAGCTCGGCCTCGGTAGCAAGAGACTTGCGTTTCTTCGGAGGGTCTTTGAGAAAGGTGCCCAAGTCCGATCCAGACGGCGGAGCCTGCGCCTTGCGCTTGGAATTGGAAGTAGTAGGAGTCGTCAGTTGATGGCCTTGCGAGTCACCTGCATTAGCGGCGTGACCATTTGGCTTGCCTGATTTCCGATGGCGCCTGCTACTGTTGGCATCACTGGTAGACTCTGAAGCAGGAACATCGTTTTTCTTTTGCACCGGAGTCTTAGTGATCTTTTCTGGCTGGGGGTCCTTGAGATCAACTGGACGTTGAGATTTACGACGCTTCGTCGATGACAACGATTCTTCGAAAGAAGAGGCGATAGGAGTCGGAGGTAGAGAGTAAGAGGTCTGTGCCATCTTAATCTTATTCGACTCGGGCTCTCTCGTCGATTTACGGGATTGATGAGAAGAGCTACGTCGAGAGTTTGTTTTCTGGAAAAGTGTTAGAGATGGAAAAGACGGGGACGGTAAGACACGTACAGGAGTCCTATCAAAAACAGAGGGAGCAGAGTTCAGAGACATCATGTCGTGGGAGACAGAAGCTGTTTTAGCCACTATATCTGGGTTAGTCGTTGGTTCAGAGGAGTGAAAAACATTGTGTTGAAGCCCTAGTTGAGAGCGTCGACTCGAGGGACACAGCGCGAGACATGCCGGGCACTGGGTGTTTGTCACTTACTTTGACTGATTGCAAGAGATTTGTTTAAGTACCCAGATTCAGATATTCAAATAAGTCTGTGATGTAAAGTGCTTCGAGGCTTGGAGAAGTATGTGGTAGTATGCGGTAGTATGCGGTTGGGATGAGGAAGGAAAGGAGGGAGATTCGAATGTGTTTGTTTCGAGACGCGAGAAGTATGTGTTGTGTACTTCGCCAAACCTAGCACCTGATGCACATTGAAAAGTTAGTGAATGTGTTCAAGGTGAGAGTGTAAACCCCAGGCAGACGAGTCGTAGCGGCAGTCCCTGGGAGAATGGCCACTCCGCAACGACCGACCTGTTCGAATAGCTGGAAACAGATATTTACATACCAGCACACCTTCTCTCCAAATATTTATGACCTTAGAGTACCGATATCGATAGTAGGATGATGTAGAAATAGGATGGAAAGGCAGGTAATGACGCTGGCTACCTGTCGGTGCAGCGGAGGCGAGGAGTCGGACAGGTTCAGATCGATCGATTTGCCAGCGCAAAAAGGCTCCCGTAATTAGGAATCTGCAGGGAACGACATGCTCGAACACTACCGGAGCGATAATCGAGGCGATCGACGATGTCACAGCGACGCTGCAGGGACGTTGACAGCAGGTAGCTGGTCGAGGAGAGAATGAGGTGTTTGGCCGACAGCCAGAACTGCAGGAATCCGGGAAATAATTAGGGCTTGCGCGGAGCAGGTGGACGCCGATGCCCCAACTCTTTTACTATCAGGGAGTCGCGGCGCTTATCTGGAGGTCCGCTGTTTAGCGCTTCCGTGATTCTTCAAGACTCCGCAGTCGCACCAGAACATTGTTCTGTCATCTCGACTTCATTCCTTGTTCTTTTGTCTTTTTAGTTTCTATTCTTTGGCTATTTGAATCAGAATGCAGCTTTGGCATACTGCTCTCCAGCTCTGTCTGCTGGCTTCAGCAACAATCCCGACCGCAGCAGCATCCTCGTGGGGGTTTACTGATGCCACCGTGTCAGTTCAAACCAAAGGCGCAGGTGTCGGATCTGGACTGAAGGAAAAGTATAGTCATTTTATCAATTGACACTTTACTTAAGGGATTAACATGCTAATGATGGTGCCAATTGCAGAATCCCCGACAACAAGCCGCTCTCCAAACCGGTCGCGCTCGGAAGCTCCGATACCCTCAAAGTGATCCTCACAGCACAAGAAGGAAGCTCCGCCAAACGCGCTCACCAGGTCTTCCTCCTTCTTCAAGATCCCGAAACCGGCTTAGATATCTCGTACCCCTTTACCGTCAAGGATAATGGCAAATCAAGGCTTGAGCTGGTAAGCAGAGGTCGAGTGTACTGGGTTACTGAAAAGCTGACGTGGCCTGCGTGCTCAGACTCAAAAAGACCTCCCCGTTCAATTTCTCTCCGTCGCCGAACCCCTGGACGCCAGATTTGTCATTGGATCTTTTGGAAGCTCTCGTGCGTACAATGAAGCTGCCTTCCAGTTGACAGTGGCCCGCAACCCCGACGAACCAGTACCGAGCGTCGAGGCCTCGCGATACGGCAGACTTCCGGAGATTCACCATATCTTCAAGTCTGATCCTCAGAGCCCTCCAGTCATTGTGACTCTTGCTTTCATCGGAATGGTGCTGGCTGCTTTTCCAGTCCTCGGTGGCCTGGTGAGTCTTTCCTCCAAACGACATTGTCGATGTTCTGACTCGTATAGTGGCTCTTCATTGGCGTCAACCTCAACCATCTGCCGACTGCCTTTAAGTCTGCCCCCATTCCCCACGCTGTTTTCCTGGGATCTCTGGTTTCCATCGAATGGATCTTCTTCCTCTACTACTCCCACTGGACACTCTTCCAGGTTCTTCCGGCTGTCGCTGCGGTCGGTGCTGTCGCATTCGTCAGTGGCAGCCGCGCTCTGGGTGAAGTGCAGGGCAGGCGCCTTGCAGGTCTCAGATAGATTGCGCATAGTACTGGATACTGGCAGCCTTAAGAGATGAGGGGGTGAGCTTGTACTAGTATGACCGGTCTTGAATCCTGATATACTACTCTAGTCTTTCATATCGCGCGTAAAAATCACAACCCTATACCATAACTTACTTCAATCTCTTACATGTTACTTTTGTAACCTTTTGCCTTCCAGCCATAAACATGAAAAATGGTCGTAAACAATCAACCGCCTGACGTCACTTCTGCGGCCACAACATTGACCAAGACGGGCTAGTCCGGCGGGTCTTTTGATCTGAAGAACCTCCGCAAGCTCTCCGCCTCCATAACTCAGCTTCACACTCAATAACCTCAGATCATCCCCATCTATAAATCCCAGGAGGAAAAATGGGCTCCTCCGCATCCAAACCCGCGCGGTCAGCCGCCAGCGCCGTCTCCCGACGCCAATACCCCAAACAGCCCTCCGCAGCCTCCAGGGCCGCACCACCACCAAGCACAGCACCACAGGTTCCCCCCAGAGAAGCAGACACCACGCAACCACTCAAAGCTCAGTCCCAAGCTCCATCGCGCTTCAAAGAACAAGCTTCCATGACAAAATCACCGGGTACGAATCCCTCCCCCGCAACCAGGTAAGAAAGATAGCTAACGAACTCCAGTCATCGACCTCGACGGCCGCGACCCGGACTTCGCCGCCTCCCTCCGCTCCATCGGCCCCGTTACCCCCAACCCGACATTCTCGCGTACGAGCACGTTTAACCCCGGCCTTGCCCCGGGTCAGACCCCAAAACAAAACCAGCCCGTCTGCCCGACAGCGACGAATCCGGCTCTCTTGGTGCTCACTGCGCGGCAGACGGCTGCTAAGGCTGCGCAGGCGGAGGCGGAGCAGATTGGGCGGCCGGGGTTTGCGGGGCGGGAGTTTGTGGATGCGTGGACGATTCGGCAGGCGTTGTCGATGCGGGATCGGCAGGGTTTGAGTCTGGGGGAGATTGAGGG